ACCACAACAACAACAACAACAGCAACAGCAACAGCAACAGCAACAACAACAACAACAACAACACCAACACCAACAGCAACAGCAACAGCAACAGCAACAGCAACAACAACAACAACAACAACAACCGCAACCACAACCACAACCACAACTACAACGACAACGACAACGACAACGACAACAACAACAACAATAATCCATCCTTCCACTTTCTTTGCTCTTCCCCCTTCCCCTGTTTTGGCCCCCTGGCCGGCTGTCGGGCGTAAGCCCTTAAATACACTCTGACGAACACATCACATGGAAATGGATGGCATCGTCCCTTGGAAGACTAGTTTCCTTGACGAACAGGGGGGTTTCTCTGCTTCCATGTGATGTGTTCGGAGTGGAGAATCCCAACACCTTTCTCGAATCCCATGGACCTCGGAGCTTTCGAAGAAGCTGGACGTCGCTTTCAGCTTCAGTGCTTTTTAGAGGACCGGGTGATGCGACTTCGTACCGAAAAAACTGCCCAAAAGCCGGGAGAGAACCTTCATGGCTTTTGGGCACCTTTTGGAGGCCCAGTTGAGTCACATGATGAAACTTGATGAGGTGAAATTCTTTCTCCACATCGGGAGAATGATCCGACCAAATGGATCGGTCAAGCTCCCCTGCCACATCTCCATCCGGTAGGGGGATCCTTTTGCCCGAGAAGGTTACGAAAACTTCATAAAGCTTCAAAAACGTCCCAAGCTTTGGTTTCACCTGCGTGATTTGAAACCAAAGCTTGGGACGTTCCCCTAAACCCTAAACACCGGTCGCGAGACGATGCGCCGAGACGAGGAGGGTGATGTGAGGTCTCGCCGGAGAGAGGGTGAGGTGACAGCCAGAGGTCTGTCGTGTTTTGGGTGAGGTCAGATGTCAGATTTTGTTCTGAAACAGTCTCACTGCGGTTGCAATCTTGGAGCCAGCGGGCTGCGATGTGACCTGCATGTGCCTTCTAGAGGTTCTTATCCCTCATGACCCAGGCAAAGTTGGTGGGCCGTCTTCCAAGGCAGTGGTTAATCTGTCTTTACAAAAGCTTCATTTTTTGAATTTGAAAGCCAGAATTTGGCTCTTAGGGTTTTTCTTCACTTGCAAGGGCTTTCTTCTTCAGCTCGACCACGGCTGGACTGCGGCTTTTTTCGATTGCCCGCGGAACCTTTTGGACACACACGGTTTGCAGAACCTTGGACTGCTGAATGGTGACCTTCGGTGAGAGTTGCACTCCTTGCATCAGGAGTAGGTCGCGAAAAGGCGATGGAGAAGTTGATGGCTGAAGACATTGAGTCTTTTCCGGCTGAAGGCTCTGCCTCTGGTCCGATGGTGAGTCGATAAGCATGTTATAACACGTGCCTCGAACCCCAGTCCCAACCAGACACAAATGGATGTTCCAATATGGTTTGCTTGAGATCCTTTACATAGCAGGTGGTTTGTGGACACATCCATTCATTTCTGGCTTTCGGGTTTCCAGGTGCTGACCTCTTCAGACCGGTCTTCCCTCGTTTCGGCGTTCGACTGGGACGTGACAGCGACAGCTGCTGCAGCTGGGAGTCGCGTGACGACCGTGACGCCACCGTGACGACCGTGTCGCGGGGAGAACCAACGGACCGGGATGGGTGAAAGCGCCGTTCGTGCGCTTTTCTCAAGCGGTCGTACACCGTCGTCGCACGGTGAGTACGACGTTCTAGTTCGGTGACGGAAAGAGCGGCTCTGTTCCGAAACGCCAGGTCGCTCAGGTCGCGGTGACAGCCGAGTGACCGTTGGGTGGATAAGGAGAGAGCGACGAGGATGGAGGGTCGCAGTTGCAGATTTCGTTGCAGTTTGACACATTTTCACCTAGTACAGCACGACGTAGTACAGCAGCTAGAGCGGTGAGCAGATCTCATCCGAACGTGAAGCTTTGGTGTGAGCTGGAGCCTGAAACTTAGCCCTGGTTGCCCTACCTGCCAACCGTGTGAATTGCCGCAGCTGTTTTCAAGGTGAGCGATTTTCACCACACTCAGCGGGCGCTGACATGGAGTTATTCACTTGGCTATTTCTTTATGTGACGCCGCTAACGAGTAGTGATCGTTGCTTCTCTGACGGAATCCCAGAAGGAGAGTGGCTCGGCAGATGTGGAGGGTTTGACGGTTGCCACTTTTTACTTGTGTCATGTCACGCTGACATGTTGTCAAGCTGAGATCTAGGCCATTTTGATGCCCAGCTTTTGACTTCTCGTGGCCTTCTTTGGTCTTTGGAGTCCTATTCTTATGTCTTGGATTCCTTCCTGCAGAGGGGACATGGACGTTTCCGGTTGCCCAACACTCAGACTCCACGACCCTCCCGCATCAATGGAACACCCTCCTGGAACACCCAATGTTTGTCAAAACGTGCTGGCGAGTTGTCCCGACAAAAACCACTGGTTTCTCCCGAGTTCTGCATTCACCCACTCCGTTTTCGAACACGTTTTCGCGGTGAAACAACAAGAAATCCCGAAAGATTAGGGGGGTCCAGGCCGGTCCAGGGGTTCAGGAGCTTTTCGCGCGACCGGCCCAGGCGTGCGAACTTGGTGAGCCAGGGATCGTCTTACCCCGTCGGAAATTGGGTCAATGGCTGGGATGCCGGCTTTGCAGCGGGCGAAGTGGCTGAGATCTTGCTCAAGGACTGGGGATCCATCTGAGAGACCGCAGCCCGCATCCACCCCCGGTCCGTGCAGGAGAAGCTGGGCTACAACGTGACCCAAAAGGTCGGGCCCAACACCGTGGATGCCTTCTACGCGCTCGCCGGCTGCCGCACGCCCACGAACGTCACGGATCGTGGCTGTGGGCCCGACATGACCACGCGCGTGCACCTGTCGACTGAAGGATGGACGGGAGGTGCGAGCCTCGCCGCGCGGCGCGGAGCAGCGGCGCGAGCGAGGCTCCGGCTGAGTTGGACTCGTGGACTCGAAGGGTTTGGTGGGAACGTCCACCGCAACTCGTTGGTTTTGGCTGGGACATGCGCCAGGCTATGCCACGGTCTGGGATGATGTCCAGACAGCCTACCCTGCTACGGCGCCCAGGTGCGCCATGAAGCGCGGGTCATGTGTCGCCTCAGTTCGCCTCGGAGCTTAGCGGCTCAGCGGTTTTCGGGGTTTCTTTCGCCCAGTTAAAGTTGTCGTAGGTGCTCTCTGGCTCTCTGGGGACTCTCAACTCTTGAGGGAAATAGAGTCGATGTCGGGCAACAACATGGTTCCTTGATGTTCGTCTTGGAACTCGTCTCCCTTTTTGTCTTCCCTTTAAAAAAGGTGGTGTCTGGTTCATTGGGCGTCTTGTCTCGTCACTTGCTTCTCTCGCTGGTCTCCTGGCTGGTCACCGACATGGCTTCTTCTTGCTCTCCCGTCTCCACACGGGGCAGTCTGCACACTGGTCCTCGGACAGGAAGGACGACTTGTTGGCACGACAGTCTCATGGATGATCGAAAACAGGTTTTTCGATTTGTTCCAATGATGTGCTGAAAACGCATCTAATCGCATCGGTCATCGCATCCGCCAGTCGTCAATTCCAACTCAAGTCATCGCCAGTTTTGGTGTGATGAGAAACAGTATGTGGTATGGTGAGTTCATCTCCCCTGCATCTTTGATGGTCTCAACCAATATTTTGCCATCTCCAAAGGTCGAGTGCCACACATGCCACGCATGCCACATCTTCGGCCGGGGCAAGGACGATCATCCAAGACTTGGAAAACACTTAGAAGTGGACCCTTCAATGGAGAATGTTCGGTTTAGGCATGTGTAGTTCCAGGTTCCGCCCGAAACCTGTTCCGCCCACTGTGTGCAGCATGGTGATACGGTTAGTGAATTGAAAGAGGATACGCGCTCAATCTTCACAAACACAAGATCACCAAAAAGAAGCGGTCAGAGATGGATAATGATAGGACCTTAGTAGGAACTAGTTTCCGCTAGAAGTAAAGTCAGGGTTGTTGCATCAGCCTTGAGAAAATAGTACTCATGACTCATGACCCACTGAACTTTTTGCAGGTGTCCCATTCCTTCCGCTGTCCGGTCTGGGCAGGAATCTGGGGAACATGGGCTACACAGGCACTGCAACGTCTTACATCTCGTCGAGTCTACAGGAGCTGTGCTGAACGAATGGCGAGCGAATTTTTTTGTGTGGAGGCTCTTTGGAGACGAGCCATTGAGTAATCTAACTAGAAGCCATGGCCTCCGACTAGCGATGGCCTCCAACCTAGAAGCGATGGCCTCCAACCTGGTAGCGATGACCTCCAACCTGGTAGCGATGGCCTCCGACCTTGAGTCATTGAGCAGAAATCAAAGTAGGAGTGACACCGAGAAACCCATTGTAGAGGAACATAGACTTAGTGGATCATTCTCCTACTGCTCATCGCGCCTCATGTTGCTGAGACATTGCCTCTGACATACATGTGCAAGTGCAAGGGGTTCTGCATGTGCAAGTGGTCATTTGGACCTTGCAAGCGAGCTATCAGTAAGCTAACGGCCTCCGGACCACATTTCCGGACATGCATCTCCGAGAACACTTGCGCTTTCTTAGGCCTAAGATAAGGCCTGGCAGTCTGGATACACCCCTAAGTAGATAGAAAAAGTAGATGCCCACGAAGAAACTGTGCCACTATCTACTTGGAGACCACTCTCTGGTCTCGACGGTTTCGCTCTCCTCCAAAACCATTCCGTGCGACCCGGTCGGTGCACGAAGGCGACTGGTCCGCCGTCTTTTCGGTCGCCCTCATTGCGTCCAAACACGTTGCGGCCAAACACGCCCACGCATGGCACCCCGCCAACGGACCAAAGAGCCAAATCCAAAGAGCTAAAGCTTGTTGGTTGATGTGATGTGACATAGTATTGAACCATAGTTGAGCGTTGTAGATAGCTACCATAGCTGCCATAGCTGCCATGCATGTCCCTTTCGATTCGTTGGCACGTGACCCGTAGGAGTTTGCGTATTCCAGCGAAGGTTACTCTTTGGACTTTTATCGGGATCCTTGGAAGGACGAATTGCGTCGGGACCGGAGAACGGACGGATCGGGAGAAATCGGTGAGACGCAAACGCGCCCTGAAAGGCCAAGGATGTAGGGCTTTTGAAAGCAAGACTAGACCAGCAAAAAGAGCAGTGCAAACTTCAATCACGAAAGCCAGCCGATAGGCTAGGCTGGAGTTGGGATGGGCGAACGAAGTGAGTATTAGGGGGTGTGGGGGGGGGTGGTCGCACAGAGGGCAATTTCTGAGGGCGACCCAGAGCCTGGTGGAGGAGAGCGAAAAAACGGCAGGCAGAATGGGATGGAACATGTATTGTTTTTGTGGTGTTGTGATGCACGTGATGTAAGTGATGGAAAAAGGGTGCATCATTAGCATCATGAGGGAGGTAGGAGGCAATGTAAACCGTCTCCTACCAGGGGTTCATGTCGATGAAAGGAAGGAGGGACAACGGGCCCGAAAAGTGGTTGGACCGCCTCCAGGACAGGGAGATGTGCGTGTCTGGTGGCCACTGAAATACTGTTCGGCCAGGGGTGAAAGGGAGGTGTGTGTCCCTTACGACTTTGTTGTCTTGTGGAAATGAAGTGATCTGTGAGGGGAGGGAGAGGTAACGGAATGCTGTGGGGAAGGGATGTGATCTGTACACGGCAGGAGAGGGAACAGAATGCGGTGGGCTAGCTTTGTGAGTGGCATAGTAGGCGTAGCGGGGTAGGATGTGATAGGAAGAGTGTTAGACAGGAAACGATGGGATGTGAAAAGTGGTCCGGACAAGGGAGGCGCGCGTCTTCAACACTCTGTTTTCTACAAGTCCTTCTTGTGGCTGTCGACTTCCCAAGGCAGGAGAGGGAAGAGAATGCAGTGGGCTAGCTTTGAGTTGATTGGGGCTGCCCTAAGGTATGTTGACCTATTACCCCATCACAGGCCGCTCTTTGCCCGATGTGACACGCTCACTTGACTCTTGACCTTGGCCCTAACTGACGTCGAGGTGCCCCTTTCTCTCTTCCAAACGCCCCTTCATCCACAAGAGCAAAGGCCCTGCTCCTGAAGGCCTATCATGTCGGCTCCGCCTTATGCCTCCTTGCGCTCTCGCGTTCACCCCCGCTGACTAATTCATATCGCCTTACGGAGGCTGGCTTTCTTCCCCTCCCTTCTCAGGTGTATATAAATGGGAGTAGTAGTCAACGAGTAAATCAAACTAATCTGAGTGAACACTAACCTACAATGACAAATCTTTTTTGCACTAAGGATTACAGCGTGGCGTGGAGAGACCCCGCCAAGTTTTTCACAGTTCCCAACCAAGTGACGTCGAAGTTGCGCCCATGTGACGAGACAATTCTGGTGGATTCGGTGCAGATGAACAATTATTTGAAACAAACCGGAGATCACGATGGCGTGACAATTCAAGGCCAGGTGGAGATTCAGAGAGTGTCAAAACGAGGAAGTGTCGTGTCGAAGGTGTCGCGGTGACATGTGGTGATCGTGGTGCTTGTGGCACAGCACCAGTTGACTCAAGTCAGGGTTCCACCCGAGAAGGAAGAAGGACCTCCCTTCAAGAACCCCTGGTAACTGTTACCGGTTGAAATGGCTGATGTACAGGCAACGGCGATGTCCACGCACGATGCTTTGATGGCCACTTTTGGCGTGCCCCAGTGTGCCGCTCCAATTCTGCCTGCCTCTTGTACCTCACCGGGGGAGCTGGATGGGGTGGAGATGAACTGCTGCAGAAGGTGGGCGATTTTGCAAGAGACCGGTCTGCAGGTTCCAAGTAGGTTGGAGGCCATCGCTAGGGTTGGAGGCCATCGCTAAGGCTAGTAGGTTGGAGGCCATCGCTTCTGATTCTAGGTTGGAGGCCATCATCGCTCGTAGTAAGTTGGAGGCCATCGCTCGTAGGGGCCATCGCTTCTGATTCTAGGTTGGAGGCCATCATCGCTCGTAGGTTGGAGGCCATCATCGCTCGTAGGTTGGAGGCCATC